TTAGGAGAAGGACTAACCTTGGACTTTTGCAGAGGTTAGAGAGACCCTTTGCTTTCTGTGCGCTCAACGAGGATACCACCCATTTCTCCCGAGTGATGTGAATGTCGATCTATCCATAATTCCATTTTCAACCCTTTATTTTCAGTTATTTATTTACCAGGGTTACCCTCCATTTAGTGTACTACACTCCTAAACACTCACTAAACAAATAAAATTATATAATAGGTTTAAACACATTTTTGTTTCTCAACGATCAAGTATACTACTTGTATGATAATTTTAGTCTATCAACTATAATATTTATGTAATTTTGATCACTAAATTTTTAATTAAATAATTTTAATTTTAAGTATTATAATTATATAATTTTTATCTATTAAGTATTATAGATTTTTAGTTTATAATTTTGTTTAAATTTTTAATCTCTTAAACACATTTGGAGTTGTGTTGTAGATTGTTCAAAGTTTTCTTCTTTTCCTCCCTTGATTCACTTCAATTCTGAGGTAAGGGAAATTAGATTTTTGAGTTGTTAAATTGTTGGATTGTTGGTAAATTGATTTTTTTTTTAATGTTTGAGATGTTAAACGGTGCAATCACATGGTGAAATTGCATGATTTTGATCCTTGTAGTTGAACTTTAGGTTTTGGGTTCATGAAGGTGAATTTGATTACTTGTGGTGATTTCTGATTGCATGTTGAATTTCTTGTTGAAAATGAATTGCTTGAGTAGGAACAACATATTGTGTTGCATGTCTAGTTTTGGTCAAGATTCAAGTGGATTGAGCAAAATTTGTGATCTATATAAGTGCAAAACTCACGTGGTGCCAAACACACCTTCATGGTGTTGAACGTAGTTCCAATCATAAGCATATGTCTCGATTCACATTAAACATATGATCAGTAGGACCAAATGTAAAGAGAGAGACTCATCTTAGGTTGAAATGACATCAGACATGGTTTGAATAGTGTTGGACGTGAGGGCACTAGAAGATCTCTAACTTGGTGACATCGAGCACCTAGTGAGTGGTGCCCAACGTGACTAAGTAAGAACTCTCTACCTAGACCACGTCAAAGACCAATATGGTAATGTTGGACGTGAGTCAAGTAGAGACTTTCTGCATGGAATGAGACCAGGCATTAGGTCCTAGGAGCCTTTACCTTGTCCACATTGGGCACAAGTTGTGTAATGTTAAGTATGGCAGAGAACTTCTTAACTTGATGCATTGGATGTAATACCCCTGATATATTACTGATATAATTGTTTAATTATTTTTTATTTTTATTTATTGAGATTATTTTTTATAATTGTGTTAATTAATTAAATAGATTTTATAATATATTTTAAAGACTTTTAATAATTATAGATGTTCTTAATTAAATAATAAATATATTTAAAATTATTTTATATCATATTTAATAGATAAATATGTGTTTTTTTTCATTTTAATATATATATATATATATATGATATATTATAAGGTTTTTATAATTAATTTATTTATTTATTTTATTAAGTGAGGGAAGAGTTTTGTAAATGGGATTAAAATGTCTAACTATTAGGTTAAAAGGAAGTTGAATTTTAAAAAGTGAGATTTCTAAATAGTTGTATTTTATGCTTCTCATTCTTTTGTATGAAAGGGGTTTTCCCAATTATATGTCTTTGTCCTTACTACGATTCTTTAATGTTCTATTTGATGTTATTGATAAGAATGTATATTCAATTTAGTATTTGATTAGATAAATGTGGATTTTGCATTGTTCGTGAGAATCCTAAGAGAATATATTGGTAATTGTATGAGGAGATTAATAGAGTTTGAAATTATGTGTAATTTGTGCCCTTTAAAGTGTAACATAACCTTTGGATTGCTTTTACCAATTGGCTTTGGGTTCAAGGTGTTAGGGAACGATGTAGGAAATGTTAAAAACCCATGAATAGTACAATTTCGTGTTAGGGACTGTCATATCTCACTCCAAGCAACCTTATACTCGCTCTAAGCGAATTATCTCGCTTTGAACTACCTCAGGCTCACTCAAGTGAGTCCTGATAGAGAGCTTTGGATGGCACTTGCTCCAAGCAAGCTTTATCTCGTTCAACACTCGCTATGAGCAAGCTGATATGGCTTAAGCGAAATAATGACTTACTTAAGTTGGTAGATGGCATAATTTGCTTTTGTGGATTTCATGAAAGTTGTATCCTTGGATATTAGCTTTCAAATGTTGTTGGAATCATCTAAAGTAGAAGTTTAGAACTCAAAATATGATCAAATTAGTGAATAAATGTCAAATTATCATATTTAGATTGAAATGTTGCATTTTTCTAAATTTTAAAATAGTAAATGACACAATTAGCTTGTGAGGTCAACATAAAAATTGTAGATAATTGTCTTATCTTTCTAAAAAAAATTAATAGTAACTTAATAACATATATATATCTTTAGATAAGGTATTTGGATCACATGATGTCTCAAAAGATTAAGTTATATATTTTACGTCGTAAGCCATGGTTATTTTGTGTTTGTCTCTATTGTATGTTTTTGTAGGTGGTTTATATACTGAGGTTGAAGATGTTACTAGTGAAAACTAATCCTTACAGTTGGATTTATACTCTGATAGGATATGATATAAATACTTAATTATGATTTTTTTTTTGTGTTGTTATGTTTTAAGAAAATTATTTGTTTTCATCATAATTTCAGTTGGATTTCAATTGACTTTTGTTTAAGTCTAAATGTAATACTTTTTATGTTGAACACAATAGATTTTCATTATGACAAACTTCTTGATTCAATTTTATTTATTTATAGTATTATGGAATGTTTTAAGAGAATTTTTCATTTTCATTGTAACTCCAGTTGAATTCCAATCAACTTTTGTTTAAGTTAGAATGTGATACTTTTTATGTTGAACACTATGAATTTTCATTATGATAAACTTCTTGGTTCAATTTTATTTATTTAAAGTATTATGATATGCGAGATAGAGAGTGTCACAAATGATATTAGGTGAGTGGTGTTGAGCACCGATTATTTGATAAAAAACATATATATATATATATATATATATATATATAAAATAATCACATAATAAAGTCGAGTTATACTTATTATAAATGACCAATCCAAGAAAGATAATTATAAGATACATCCTATATGGGATAAGTGGTATAGTTGGATCAACTTGTCTATGGTGTTACCGGAGAATCCAAAAATTCATTTTGCACAGCACGTTGTTTCTTTTTATGAAGAACGTGAATACCAAGGCATGGACTGCATTGTGGTTTGCCTTTGATTGGTGTATTAAGAAAGCAAAAAACAACCATATTTTTAGAAATGTCAATGTTGATGTATGCTCAAATTTGCAGGACATAAACTTTATGAGTTGGAAGTGGATGCTTTTTAGATGGATAAAGAGACCATATTTTCATACGCTCATGGTCTGGTTATATGCAAGCATGTATATTGTAACAATATTATGATAGAAGTCTTGTAAACAAGTAGTTAATTTATATTTATTTAGACATGAAAATAGAATTTACAAATAGTTTATACTTTTAGGGCGAGGGTTGTACATGGATATGAACACATCCTGTGTATTTAATTTTATTAATACAACTTTCTTTTGCTGACCAAAAATAAAAACTCGTAAAGTTGAAGATGCAAAATATTCATGCACCAAATTGAAAGGGTAATAAGAAAAAATTAAAAAAAAATCTTAATAGCACCTTTATAATTAATATCATTATATCCATATTGGTTGGTAGTGATTTCTTTCTATGAATTGTCGTAATAATTAGGTTTTCAAATTTATTTCTATAATTTTTCTTTATTTAGAACTATATTTTTTTTTTATGAACAAGATTAATGTAATATCTCAAAATTAATAATTAAGAATTAATTTATATTTATAAAATATTTTTTTTACTTATCAAACACTATTTTAACACAAAAATTAAATAAACCTAACAGCACTAAGTCACTCCCTCATCTTGATTTACTTGAATCAATTTGATGATCCACACACATTTTAGGCTTTAGTATTTTAAATTTTCATATAATTGTACCTTTTTCCATTCATTTAATTTAATCTTCTCATTGATCTTTTATATATTGTTACTTTGAGAATACATTGGATTATGATTTTAAAATATTATTTTATCATGACTTTTTTAGATTTTAAATAACTTTATAAAAATGTAATAATTTTTAGGACTTTCTTAAAAAATTTATGATGAAGATTTTGTAATTAGATTTTTAATAAATTTATATCATACTTTTTTATATATGATTTTAAAGAATTTTGTAGATTTACAAAATTTCAAAAAGACAACGTGATTTTTTTAAATTAGTGTTAAAATATTTAATAGAAATATATCATTAATTTTTTATTAAATAATTAATTTTAGTTACATATCTTCCTAATTAGAAACATTTCATTATATATTTATAACATAATTTTCTTGCCATATTTTAGATAAAGAAAATAATAAAATATGTAAAATGGAAATCAAAGAAAAACTAAATATTAAATAAAATATATAATTATATTTTAAAAATAGGAAATATTTTCCCTTCAGATGTAATCATTAACAAACATGTCAATATTTTTTTTTAATTTTAAATGACATGCTAATGAGAGAAACAATTTAAAAATTATGAGAAACAAATTTTCAATAAAAATTTCTTTGAGAAACCAAAATTGCATATTCATTATTATATATGTATAAAAATGAATTTAAACCTTTGGATTTGATTTAAATTGCATTAAATTTTTTTTCTTCCAAATCCCAAAACAAATTTACTAAATTAAATATAATTAGTTAAATTCAGTCAATCTAAATAAAAACATTCTTAATTAAAACAATGAATTTGACTTCATGATTAAATGTTTAATTAAAATTTATGATTTAGTTTTTTTACAAAATCTAAATTTTTATTAACAACATGAATGCACATAAATATGGGGTGTGTAAAACACAAGTATTTAACCCATCTCAACATCTACCTGGTTTCAATCTCCAATTCAACTCCTTCTGGTTTCTTTGTGAAGATGAACTTTGTCGTGGCTTTCGTATTCTTGTATCTAACCACTTTAGCGCCATGTCACGTTCGCTCGCAACAGAGACATCTCATCAAAATGACGCTGGTTAGGAATGCTCGTGCTACCAATGCACGTAAGTTTTTTTTTTTTTGTTTTTTTTTATATTAATTAATTTAATTAAATTGTAGTAATTATTTATTAAATTTTGGAGCTTGAAGTTTGTTTGGACGGGAGTTTACCGGCGTATCATTTGGACAGAGGATTTGGAGATGGCAAAGACAATTGGCTTCTACAATTTGAGGTAAACTCAACTTTCTATTTCTCTTGGAATAATTACAAAACACAATTAAGAGATGGCCATATTATCTTTTGTTATATATGGGAAATATATTCAAAAAAAATTTCATTATATTTTATTTGACGTTTTAAATAAAATAATATTTTATTTTAATTATCATTTTACAATATCAATCTACATAATTGATATATATTCTTATTTCTTAAATATGTGGATGAAGATTTGATCTATTTTGTAGATATATATGTATGAAAAATATTTGTTGAGAGAATTTAATTCTCTAAATATATATTATCTCAAATGATTGGTTAATAACTTCTTTTTTTTGGTGTTGGTTAGTTAATAACTTTTGATTAAATATGTTTTAATTTATCAAAAAATAATATCAATGAATAATTAAAAGTGATTTTCAGATCATCAACAATTTATTATGGAATGAAAAAAATATAAAATAAGTATTGATGAATACTAGGGATGGTAATGGAGTAGGTTGAGAGTAATTTTGTTTTCGTCATCCTTGTCTCAGTAAAATGAAAAGAGTTTAGATTTGAATTTTAAAGAGACATATTTTATATTTTTAAAAGTTATTTTTGTCTTTATCGAATTTTATCATATTTAAATAAACCCATGAAAAATTCATTACATTTTTTTTATAACTTTGCTTAGTTATACATTTTAAATAAATTAAATTTTAAGTTAATAATTATATTATAATATAAATAATATATAAAATAATAAAAAATAAGAAATAACTTACAATAGAAAATTCAATAAATAAATTATATTTTAGTTAAACATACAATTTTAAGTCTGTTACTTAATTATTGATATAATTTCAATTATTAACTGTTGAAATGATTAATTTATACTTTTATTGATTATAAAAGTGAAATCTTAACTTTAATTTTTATATTTACGCATACAAAGACCTGATATTCAAATTAGAGCACAATTCATACTTATATTTAGTCAAAACAGGTTTTTCTTATTAAAATTGGAATAGGACCAAATGAATATCATAAGTAGTCATACCTAATGAAAATTGAAAAATAATATAGTTATTAATAAAGATAAATGATATAGTAAAAATTAATTATGTAATAATTATTATAAAACTTAAGACACTACTTGCATTTCTTAATAATACTTAAAAAAATCTTAAAAGTCAAATAAATTCTAAAAAAATATATATATTCTCTTCATCTTTAATTAAATATGAGACTATTTTAACTAATTCCCCATTAAGCTAATCTAGTTAGTAAGTAGAACTAAATTTGTTAAATAATTTGCATTCCTATCTTTCCATGTGTCATGTAAAAACAATAAATCTCAAAACAAATGTGATTTTACATTCTAATGTAACATTAATTATACATTTTTTATTTATATTCTTAGTAATATTTTTAAAAAAATTGTTATTGTGTTACATCATTTCCACAAAAAAATAATAATAATAAGGTCAATTTTGTAAACTTATTATTTTTAAATTTATTTATTAGTTTTTTTGTGTGTAGAAAAACACAGGATGACATTTATTATGATTTAATAATAAGTGTCATCTTAAATTTTATTATACGGATAATATAAAACTAATAAATAAATGTAAAAGAATAATAATTTTATAAAATTAACCTTGTTATTAATATTTTTATTTTAAATGATGTAATACAACAACTTTTTAAAAAATATTATTAGGAGTATAAATAAAAAATAATATTCATGCTATACTAATTTTTTTTATACTTATTTTAAGACTTATTTTTTCTTTTTACATGATACTTATCAGGAAATATTATTATTCCGAAAATGTACCTAAAATTATTGGAACAGAATGAAAATTTACAACATTTTTGAAAAATTATTTGCGTGACATTTTTTCGATACATATTGGTGACACATTTAATAGAAAGTAACTATTAATGTATATTATTATTATATATTGGAGGAATACATATTAATGTGTATTTGAATTCACGTATTTATTCATAAGTCATTATATTCTAATATTTTAACTTTTACAATGTATAAAGTAAATATTTATTAAATATAATTAAAATTTTTAATAAATTATATATAAATAAATATTATATTTAATATAAAATTTATATTTAAAAAAATTATATATAAATATTTTAATATAAATTATATTTTAGATTTATGATAAAATTTAAATTATAGCATAATATTATTTTATTTATTGATAACTTATTTTAAAA